AAAAAAAAAAAAAAAAAAAAGAATCTGTTAATGCAGTAGAACTCAAAGTGTGGTCACCGGACCAGCAGTTTCAGTATCACCAGTCAACTTGTTGGAAATGAAAATTCTCTGAACCCCTCTGAGACCCACAGACTCAGACCACTCTGGGGGTGGGGAGAAACAGTATTTTCTCAAGCCCTCCATGGGATTCTGCTGCACATTCATTTGAGAACTGCTACAGTAAGGAAACAGTTCTCAAACTTTTTGGTCTCTGAACACTTCACTCTCTTAAACATTACTAAGGACCCCAAAAAACTTTTGTTTATAAGTTATAACTATCCACATTTGCTATATTCGAAAATAAAACAGACATTTAACAATATTTAATTCATTTTAAAACAAAAATAAAGGCCTTCACATGAATACTTTTTTTAATGAAAATAATATTTTCCAAAACAACAAAAAAATGTAGTGAGAAGAGAGGCATTGTTTTACATTTCTGCAAATCTCTTTAATGACATAGTAGAAGAAAGCAAGCATCTCACATCTTCTGTATTCAATCTGTTCCCATATATGGTTTTGGTTGTAGTGTACGAGGAAAACCAGGCTCACAAGAGATATGTAGTTGGAAAGGGGAGGAGCCTTTAATAGCCTTTTCAAATAATAGTGGATATTCTTCTTTGATTCTACACCAAAATAAGTGGTAATTTCTTAAAAATTAGTTGCAATGTGGAATCTGAAACCACATTAATGAACTTTCTGTGCTTTTACATTAAAATCCATTGGTCTTTCTTGCTGTGAATGGCTCTTTTACCTACGTAAGATTCTGTAACATTAAGGTATTGGTTATCTGGAAAATAACAGCTTACTGAGTTACAGAGAGCTGCGAAATGGTGACACATTTCCTTAATATTCTTATATAACATTGTGGGAGATCAAAATTTGGCCACCCTGAAATATGTCTCTTTACCTTATTTTCTCTGATGGACATTCGACCTCCCCCACTAACTGCCTAAAGGAATTTAACTCTGGGTATGGACAGACTGGCAGGGTCCTCACTAAGCCCATTCTTTTCAAAGTTCTGTTTACCAAATATTTACATTTGTTAAGGTATCTCCCTCTGTGTGCTGGGAGGCGGGGGTGGGGTGGATGGGGGGCGTGGGATGGCCTTGTCTCTGGAAACTCTTATCAGTACGGAAGAAGACTTAAATGTACATATTCTTGATTACTATAATTCCTGTCTCTCCGGCCACATTATCTATAAGTGGCTCTGCAAAGCATTCTCTGACAAACATTTACATTTCCCTCTCCATGTAAATTGTCTTCTTCCCCTCTGAAATCCCAAAACACCACCCACCCCCAACATCTTCCTTTGTCTTTAGCTGAAGATAGTATTTAAGACAACAATCTCTGCCATTGTGTTGAGAAACTCAGTGTCCCTGGTTTCTCCCATGTATACATGTTATTAAACTTGGTATTATATTTCCTGCTAACCTGTCTTGTTAATTATTTGGCTAGCCATAAGAACCTTAAGAGAAAGGGCAGAGGCGGATTCTCCCTCTTCCCGCACACATTAACGAACGTGACTTTTTGCATAATGCCATAAATCTAATCAGAGAAATCTTTACAATATTGTGAAGCTGTTTAAGCTCCCAGTGGTGGAAACAAGTTTTCTAAAATTCTGATTTTCACTTGAAAGCTCAAATTTTATCATTGGCAACAAATACTATTATTTGTTTTCCTTTAAGGAACAGGATCGCTTTGTTCACTGTCAAGAAAATGCCTGCCGGGCCGGCCCGGTGGCGCATGCAGTTAAGTGCGCACGCTCCGCTGCGGTGGCCTGGGGTTTGCCGGTTCGGATCCCAGGCGCGCACCAACGCACTGCTTGTCAAGCCATGCTGTGGTGGCATCCCATATAAAGTGGAGAAAGATGGACATGGATGTTAGCCCAGGGCTAGTCTTCCTCAGCAAAAAAAAAAGAAAATGCCTGCCAATACATGGAAGATAAACCAATACACGAACAGATACAACTGTTTGGTGGTTACCAGGGGCTAGGGGGGTGGGGGGTGGAGGGATGCACTTATATGGTGACTGATAAACAATAATGTACAACAAAAATTTCACAATAAGAAAATGCCTACCAAATAACTAAGTCTGAGTAATCACACTGCCATCTGTCCTTTCAAGTTCTAACAATGGTGCTCCACAAAACAGAACAGCTAGCTCAGGCTGCAAGTGAAACAATCACAAGAGCTTTTCCTCAAGACAATCCCCATGCAGTCAGGTGCTTTATGGGTGCTTACCTTTTCATCCACAGAACATTAAAAAGATGTATACTCAAAGGGTCAAGATATAATCAAATTAATAATTTTTACTGCTCATCATGAACATTTTTAAGGGAAACTAGGTTTTTCTTCCTCCCCTGCAAATATGTGGTGGTGAAGAATACAACGATTCATGCTAAGGTGTACCAATTTTACCCACCACTGCTTTTACATCATCAGTGCAAATGTCAACAGTAAAAAAGGCAAATAAGGGCCACCCCGGTGGCCTAGTGGTTAAGTTCGTGTGCTCACTTCGGCAGCCGGGGGTTCACGGGTTCAGATCCCAGGCATGGACCTATGCACCCCTCATCAAGCCATGCTCTGGCGGCGTCCCATATACAAAGCATAGGAATTGGCACAGATGTTAGCTCAGGGACCATCTTCCGCAAGCAAAAAAAAAAAAAAAGAGGAAGATTGGCAACAGATGTTAGCCCAGGACCAATCTTCCTCACCAAAAAAAAGGCAAATAACACCTTAGTATTGTGATAAGAATAGTTCTGATTTCACAGACCCCAGGGTCTTTGAAAACTGTTTTAAGAGATTCTAAGAGAAAGATCCAGAGTTTCCCTACTTCTCTAGCTCCTTGCTTACAAGCTCTCTCTCCTACTAGAGCATAAAATTCTTTACAGCAGATAATCATACCTCAGTGTCTAAAATAGAGTAAGGCTCAAAGATTCAATCTTCTTTGAAAAAGCAAATTCAGGGATTCATTCATACGCGGGGCACTTTAAGGACCAAAGCAAAGAGTAAAGCTTTAGGTCAACTCAAGGAATCCCAAAGCCCTTCTTCACTGCATACACCTAATTAGCACAGTTATTTTAAAAACTACTTATTTAATAGAAACCACACAGGCACTCATAACGAGTGAACGGAGGGACAAAGAAGTGCTTCTAAGTGGGGGACAAGGGCTCCAGAGGAATTGGTGGTACAGTCTAGAGGTTCTCACAACACTGTCAAGGTGCGCCAATTGACACCAATTATTGCTTGTAGTTTCATTAGGTTTTCTGATTCAGGGAGAGTAAAGGGAAGGATTTATGGGACCTCTCCTCAGGGAAAAATGGACAGTCCGGATCAAGACAGGTTTCCAGTTATGGCCTCTGACATTTAGACCAAGGTCTTTTGTGAGGTTAACTACCTTGTTAGCTACCCCACATTTGCTTTGGTCACCTCCTGCTCCTTGCCCTGTAGTGATAAGCTGTGTGCCATTACAATGGAAAGAAGAGTCAATAGATACTGTACAAAGTGAATAAATCAAAAAGGAGAGAATTCTTGTTTATTTTTGAAAGTTAGAATGATGATCACCAGAAGAATCCAAAACAAAAATTCATTAACAGTGGTTCCTCTGGGTCAGGGGAAATTCAGAATGGAACAGAGATAGGCTTTATTTTTATTTTTACATATTGCTTGAAATGTTTTCAACCACACACATATATTGCTTTTATGATATAAAACAATATAAGTAGTTTTATAGACAAAAACCAAAAAGAGCCTGTGTGATTCATTTTAGCTGTAGGAAGGAAAGGAAGATGCTGGAAAAGATTGCTTCCACTCTGAGGTCTGTCTTGTGAGGGGAAAAAAAATCTCCAAGGAAAAGAAAGGTTGAAGGCAGTATTCAAGAGTGGCTGCACCAAGAAGCTTGGCCTTAAGGAGAAAAAGACCCAATCTGTGAGGTTGTTTGCTCCTCCTCACAGTGAGGCAGCAAGATATGGTGACCACAGGGGCAGGTGGTGGTCCTGTTCTGGTGGCTACCATGGGAATGGCCTGGCTAACAGAGTGAAGTCAACAGAAGAATACTGACCAGGGCTCAGAACTGGCTGTAGAGTAGCGTCCTGGTTTCCTTATCCTACAGAGGGATGGAATTACCTTTATCTCACAGAACTGGGGCAAGAATAAAATGAGATCATGTAACTTAAAGTACTCAATAAACTGCAAGGCAGGATTACTCTTAGGGAACCAGATTTTTCTTCCGTAAAACGTGAGGATAGGCTACAAGGTTCCTTCAGATGGGCGTGGCCTTAAACAAGTTAAACCATATCTACAATTTGGAAAGACCCCTTCAAATGTCATATTTAAAGCATAGGTTATTTCATGACTCATCATTTAAATCCAAATAAGCTACTCTCCAAATGTGACTCTTCTCACCGATTCTGAAAGGACTTTCCAGCAATATTGTCTCTGTAGGAATCAAATAAAACGTGGTATTGATCCCGGCTCCATTCCAGAACCACCTAGGAAAAAAAATAAAAGAAAAAGAAACAATGTTTTCTTTGGATCAAATACTAAGAGTATATGATTTTCATTTCATTTCTTTTTAATTTCATTAAGAATTGCTAAAGGAGCAGGTTAAGCAATGAAAATTCATCCATTCACTCAGTGCCTGCCACATACACAGACACTGTACTCAATCCAGATGAACAAGCTACAATATAAGGATAGTTATATAGATATATAAATAAAAGCTATAGTTCCTGGCCTGTGGAAGGAGGAGGGAAATCAAAAAGATTTAAAAGGATGCAATATGAGAATTGGGTCTTGGAGAACGAGTTCACCAGGTAGGAAGAAAGAGACAGGGCCAGAAGAGCATGCTCAAAGGTTGAGAAGCAGCAAGGGCGAGTTATTTGAGAGCAACTGTGTAGTTGGCTTTGGTTGGAGCACAGACAGTAATGACTGGAGAGTAATGGGGCTGCGAAAGGAAGCTGGGCCCTCTGTGATGTGCCTTGTATGCCATGGGAAGTGGGGGCACTGAAGGATTTTAAGGCAGCTACATGATGTATCCAAAACTTGGGAAAGACTCTTCTCACAGCACAGAAGAACACAAGCTAAAACAGAAGAGACTGACACGATATGGGGAATGATGACCTTACTACCTGCTGTCCAGCTGACGATCTTGGTAAATATTTCAGGAGAAAATGGAAGGCTTTAGATAGAAGATCCCTCATGTCTGCATCCCAAATCTATAAACCTACCCACACATACGCCCCATTTTCTTCTTCACTCCCTTTACTATGGAGGAAGTGTCCCTTCTTGCAAACATCCCATCTTTGTCCATTTGCTCTGGATCTCATCAACTCATCTTCTCAAGACCTTGCCTCCTTTCTCTTTTCCTCTGAATACGATTATTCCCATCAGCATATAAACATATTCCAGTATCTCAGGAAAACCTTCCCGTCACTCCACACCCCCCTCCAGCTAGTCCCTCTACTCTAAATTCTCTGTCCCTTTCAAGTACAAATATCTTTACAGAGTCACCTCCCACTCCAATATCACTTCTGCCCTCACCATTTCAGTGGACTAACCAAGGCCTTCATGTTGTCATATCCAGTGACGCTTTCCTGATCTCTCCCTTACTCAATTGGTAGCGGTTGTCCAGTTCCTCCTTGTTGAACCACTTTCTTGGTTTTCCTCCCATTACTCTGGGTGACTCCTTTTCAGTATCCTTTGCCAGGTCATCCTCTTCTATCTGGCCTTTAACTGTGTCCTTTCATTCTATTCCTCTTCCTGGAATGCCCTCCTTACTGCCAAGGCTTCTTCCAGCTTCCTCTTCCACAAACCCTAGGATGTTTGTGGAATGTAGCCCTGCTACATTCAGATGGCTCTGGGAGCCCCAGTCACTTAGATTTCATTCCAGCCAGCAGAAAGGAGAGAAAGGAAAAGATATGCCCCTCCTTTAGGAGACTTCTTGGAAGCTGCACCTAGCACTTCTGTTTCCACTTGCCAGAACATGGTCACGTGATATCTGCCTACAGGGAAGTCTCACGGACCTATGTGCCCAGCTGCAATTACTCATTTCCTTCTGTAGCATTTAGGTTTTTCAAGATCTGGCCTCTGCTTACCTTTACAACCTCACTTCACTGGATACTTCATAAGTACTGCAAATTCAACTAAAAATTCTCCCACTCAGTGCACTGATTTAAAAACAATTGATTTTAAAATGTATTGATTTAAAAACTGAGGATCTAATGTGCCTTGTACTAGGTTTACAAAGAGAAATAAGCTAAGTTCCCTGATCTTCCAGGAACTATAGCTGATTATTTTTAATAGAGAATTTTACTGCCAGCTACATCTGCACTGAAGAAGGAGCACTTGACGCTTTCTAGGAAGATGCCAACAAGACTTCCCTGAAGAAGCAGTGCTAGCAGTCTTAAAGTATGAACAGGAGTCTGCTGGCAGTTCAGCTGGGGAACAGGGGGTGTGTTAGAGGGAATTTCTACCAGACTGGATGGGGGAGTGAAGAAGAGGAAGAAAATCAAGGAAGATTGATAGGTTTTTCCGTATTTCTAGTATGAGTGACTAACAGACAGTGGGGCCACTTACTGACAGAGGAGGAACAGGTGTAGTGGGGATGAGAGCTGGTGGGAGGCAAGGGTTCCATGTGAGCCATGGTGCATTTGAGGTTGCACGTGCATACAACTGGCCTCTCCAACTGACTTGCAAATTCCAACAGGAGGGGGAATGAACTACACCTTTCGTATCTCACACAGCACCAAACCCAATGGCAGGCACACAGCTATAAAATGCTATCTACTTAATAATATAATCGTAATGATTTGTATCAACTTATTGAGCTCAAACAGAAGTGCTTCTCCATCAATATCCCTGTGTAGTTTGTAAAAGGACAACCAGTGTATCTATTATTTTTGTAAAACAAACCACAAAAAATAAAGCGCAATATCTCTGTTCTTGGCTGCCGGGGTTACCCAGAGGTGGAGAGAAAACATCAGAGAGGGCACACTTGACAAATGGCTGAGAAACGCCGATGTGCTGTATGTTGACAGAAAACACAACGTCCCTTCTTTCATGAGATAAAGTAATCTCACCATCTCCAAACCACTTCGATGTATTAGAAAGAACAACAGCAGCAAAGTGTCCTTATCTAAGACATTTAAGAACATTCCTACTAGTCAGAGTTTTGCATGCTTAGATCTCAGGGGAGGTAGCAGAAATGCAGGGTTATGACTCTGGGAATGCAGGTTTTCATCCAGCTCTGTCACTTGACCTTGAACAAGTTATTTAGTCTCTTTGGGCTATTTCTTCAACTGTAAAATGAAGGAGGTCTGAGCAAATCATCTTTGAAATCCCTTCCAGTCCTAAAAGTATATCACTAAAGGAGGTACAGAGCTGTGTGGCTGACACTGTGTGACTGCCCTGGTTTCTTCCCTGTGCTCACATGTCAACTCCAATAGGACACTGTGTCTCTTCTTGTCTTCAGCCTCCTCTGGGTCTCTTGTCCCTGGTCTTAACCCCATCAACATTTAAACCCCATTCTCTTCCATCATAACCATTTCCTTTTTATGCTTAAGCCCAACTGTCAACAAGACACTATTACGGAAATCTTGCCAAATTCTTTTTTAAGAGAATGAGTAATGTGCTAAATGAGAGATCAAAAAGGAGCCTTGCAAATCCAATAAAATTCTTCTAAGGGTCAGTATCAAATCATTTTCTTAATACTATCAAGGATGGAAAACAAGAGAAATTTGAATGGGCAATTATCAAATTATTTATTTTGGGGTAAACTATAAAAATATAAATACCTTCCAAACAACAAAGAAGCCAAAAAAGACTTAAACTTGTAATTAGATCTTGTTTTCAGCCATTATTAGCAATAAACAAAAGACCAGAGGAAAAGGGTAGAGAAATACTAACTGCTGTAAAATCAGGTCTCTTTTCCTCCACAAATCCCTCCCATATTCTTTAGCCCAATCTGGGTTGCTTCCTTCTCAGAACTCCGAGTAACTTTTCTCTCTATCACTGACATGGAAATCAATTACCAGCTGCCTTGTAACATTTCTTGCCTTGTTGGCTTTTTTATTGTTATTCACCTTTCCCCCCATGTTAGCATCTTGTCAGACCAATCAAGTTACAAACCGCTTGAGGGTAGAGAACTTCTTACAATTCCATTTATTATCAACTTGCACCCAGCACAATTCATTATATACTATCTTCTTCTTCCTAATAAATATTATCTGGTTACAGCAGGAGTGACATAAGACTGGATTTGGGAATTTGGAACACCCCCTGGAAGAACCTCCCAGTTCTCCTCCTTAGCAGCTGTGTAACCTTGGGGAAGTTACAAATGTTCAGGCCTCAATTCCTCTACTATGAACTAAATACTAAATCTCTTTCATCAGTTTGTTGTGTTGCTGCAGTGAGTGGGTGATTCTCACATGATCTAGGTGGATAAAGGGTATGAGGAGCGTGCTGGGCATACTAGAAGTCATGGGTGAACAAAGCATATCTTCCGGAACCATCATTTTCATAATGGCAAGACATTTAAAACATTATATTGGTAGGAATGCAAGTTTTTTAAGGAGAAAAATGGAAAATTGATGTGATTTTTACAGATACAATGTTGGCCTTCAAAAAATTTCCTACTTGCAATTTTGAGCTATTCCTCCCCCACACACGCCTCCTCTCTACATTATTCTCCTCAGAATATTTACTTTTCTCTGCTACTAAGGGTAGTTTGTTGGTAAAATTTAAGACACAATGAACAAAGATTTATTTTTAATTTATTATTCATTTATTAAACTATTAAAATACTAAATGAGCTCTGAAATACTATATAAACAACATATTAATAAAGAACTGTAAAAATCATCTACAGGTAGTTTATTCTACTACTTAAAAATGTTTATTACTTTTAATAAAGACTCCATTTTAATAATCATGGCATTCAAGATGAATTGTTGGCCAGATTTTACAAAATGGCAGCCAAAGTCTGTCTTAACGTGCTGATCACAGAGGAGAAGGGGCGCGTCCACACATTTACCAAGCACCATCATGCCAGGCACTCCTCCCTGGTGAATCACCGTAACAGGTACCAACTGTGAGGCAGGTCCAACAATGGTTCATTTTCCATAGAGAAGCTCCAGGCCACGCAGCAGTGTGTGACGGCTGAGATTTGAATCGACCCAACTCCAGAGGCCATGTTCCCATTTAGCTTCGCGCAGGCTCTCTCAGCTTCTCTAGGCCGCCGCCTCTGATGCTTTATTTACACAGAGCTAGCTCTGTCAAATACACATTTATGAATGTGGTGATTCAACCAGTTCTGAAACTGGTATGTTTATCATCCTTAATTCAATGATCCAGAACTATTTGCCTGGCATGTTTATAAATACAAGTCACATAATAAATTTGTATTTTTCCTCAGTATTTTCAGACTGTCTAATAGTCTAATTGGTTTGTGCACACAAATGCTAAACTTTTCAGATAAACTTTTTAAAATTAT